TTGATTTTAACAAAAGCAAAAACTATTTAAGATTTAGAGTCGGTGTTATACATTGATAAGTATTTAATGGTAAGAAGATTAAATCATTACTAATAACTTCGGTCAAAACTGTTGTCAATCATTATATACCAGTTATGCTTACCAGCCATTGTTGACTGGTTATTGAAAAATAACTGAACATTGAAGCAATTAATTAGCTGTTGGTATATTTTTTTTTGGTGATTATTAGGCACTTTGCTTTATATATTAATAATAAGAAATAACAATGTATCAAAATTGAAAGAAAAATATTTGAATTTGCAACTCAAGTACCTCTCAATACTGTCCTACCAGAGAAGAAACTCATTTTCAACATAGAACCAACGGCATTGAACATTGTTACTCAAATATTTTGGGCATCAATGTATTGCACTGTGTTGACTGTGTTTTTGTCACAGACAAGAGTTCCTACTCTCATGTTATGAGTTACTAACAGCATTAAAATAGATGTATTTGAGAATGTTGTGAATATACTTACAATGACAGTGAAGCAGAAAATATTTTTGTACAATTTGCCCTATGTATAGCTTTCCCTAGTTTCTTAGGCCTGCAGAACTTATTCATGAACATCCTGACCGATCCAGACTGATTATTGTAATATTGATCGAGAACATTACCAAGTTTTTTCTGTAGTGTGAATTGAGTTGAAGTAATAAATAAATTCAAACATTTGATTTATTACAGTTGTGAAGAAAAAAATCCTGGTAAAAGTTCAGATTCAAATTCATCCAATGCAACTCCAGAACAACCATTCATACCATCTAATATGGATGTTGTTGAAATGTTTAATATTGTTAAACCCTACATGCGCCAGTTATTAGAAGATACTAATGCTGTAAGTGAAATACATTTATATTAAACAGAATGGACCTAAGAAATGGAAAAATTTGAAATAAATCAAAAACATTTAAAATTGTTTTTCAAAATGTATTGTTAATAACATAGAATAAATAATATACCATTTAGGGTTTAGAACATTAAAATATTCTGTTCAGAAAGATATATCTGCAAGATGGTGTCCATTTTTCTAGAATGCATTCCCGGAATCATGTGTAGAGCTTTAGCATTACTCTTTGCAACTGTACAGCACTCGCCCAACAACACTTCTCTAGTTAAGGAATCCAAGGAGATATTACTTAAATTTCAATAGAGATGTTACAGAATCATTCAAAACCTCCATTCACAATTTCAGAAATTCATACTGAAGAACAAACACCATTTTAATGTTATTTTTATCTGAACTTAATATTTTAGTATTTTAAACCTTATATAATATATTATTTTATTAACAATAAATATTGAAAAAGAATCTTAAACTTTTGTAACAGTTAATTCAAATTTTTCTTGAGCCTACAATTCAATTTGTTATTTCTAATGAATATATTTTTCAGCTGAAAATGTGGGTATCCTTATTAATTCCAAAAATCGAAGATGGTAACAATTTTGGGGTAGCTGTTCAAGAAGATACTCTTGCTCAAATCCAACATGTTGAAGCTGAAGTTGCCAGTTATCTTGAACAAGAGTTTCAATATTTAGTATCTCGTGGAAATTTAATAGCCAAGGTTAATATTTATCTAGATATTTCAGTAGTAGTAATACAAGTTTAATAAATAATAATTATCAATACCACATATGTGTCATACATAAATGACTGGTTTTCTAGCTATACAAATAATCATTTCATATATTCAATAATAACTTTACCTACAAATTTATTCAGAGTGGAGTTTTTTATACATGTTTGACAGGTGTAATATTGTTAATGTTCTGTTAAAAATTAAATCTTAAAACAATTATAACAAAATCACCAGTATGTTTTGAAAATTTGTCCATGATCAGAAAAGGCTAATACAAGGTGATATTTTTTTATCATGAACCAGAAATTTTCTTACAGTTGTCAATTAGATCATAAGTAATTCTGTATGTATGAATTCTATGTGGATTCAGCTCTCAACAACAATTTTCAACCAATTCACAACATAATAATTATATTGAAAACAACAAAAATAAAATGTTATAATTTTTAAACTGTTGTTCATGTTTTAGGTGGTGAAATATCTCTATGTAGAAGATTATAAACGAGCTATAGATGAATTAGATGAAAGAACTTATGTATCCATGGCCATTGCCATGCATGAAGTACGCAATCATTATACTACATTGCATGACATTGTG